TGGAGCCGGCGCGTGACCTGGGAGAGGCGCGAAAATCCCTTTTGCTAGCTATCGGTACCGAGAAGGTCAGCGCAGGCGCAGAGTATCCCAAGGGTGTGAATGCACAGATGACCACTCGAAGATCACCAGTTACAGGTAAGCAACCTGTCTTTACCAGATTGAGTAACCAAAACAATATCCAAAATTAACATTAGAGTGTAGGAGATTACAAAATAAGTCAGTTGACTAGTCTGTTTTTTGTTTAGATTAGTATCAGATCCATTGGACATAATTTTTCCATGAAGGTGAGATAAATTCTGCTGATGATAGGAATTCTAAAACAGGGAACCACTTTGTATTAAAATTTGATACCAAGGGGATTCTGGCATCTAACGTACTTTCGTCATCTAATGTAGTAATGCAATCATGTTGCCAGGCTACTTGGTATGGTAGAGTTTTGGGCCCTGAGTCCTTTAAGAATAATTTGTATATAGCCGAGACCATGCCTCTATTCTGTGTATTGAATAGTTTAATCATGACCTCCAACTCTGTGTGAGGGTAAGATATAATGGTTCCAGTTTTTTTATGTTCACTATATGTTGAAGTTGGAGGTATAAGAACCAGGGGATGAGGAGACCTAGTTTACGTTCTAGCACATTCTTAGGATGTATGCCATTTTTGTCAGTGATATCACAGTAGCGGGATAGGTTCATTTCTTTCCATTTGGATTGGACTTTTGGTCGAACATGATTGGAAAACCATGGTTGATGTGTGAAAGTAGTATATCTGGATACTTCTGGGAGAAATTTCTTGCTGAAGGATCTCCATAAGTGTATGGAAGGGTAGAGAAACAACTCTCACACTTTTAAGAATTCGAGGTATAATGGTAAAAAAAACACATTGATAAGGTTGTTGAATGTTTCAGATAGACAAGATTAAGGTTCAAGTATAGCTGGATAATATAATGCTGCTATGTACATGACTCATACCAGATTGTTGTAGATGTACATAGTTTATGGTTTAATGTTTGTATTAACTTTATATCTCCAACAAAAAGGGGTGTGTTTTTTTAAGTGTCAAAATTAGGGATGGGCAGAAACCTTTGTTCCTCCAAGAGATTTCCAGCTCTCAGGCATGGCTTCCCACTCTGGATCCAGCACCCCTGAGTGGGAAGCCTCACCAGAGTCTGCTGGGCTTTGACATTGAGGTGGAACATTCCTTCTCCATCCAAGATACTGCCATGATGGTGAGAAAGTTGGAATCCAAGTCTTATGAGGAAAGACTAAAAGAGTTGGGTCTGTTTAGCCTGGGAAAGAGAAGGCATAGAGGGGACATGGTTGCAGTCTTCAAGTATTTGAAGGGCTGTCACGTAGAAAATGGAGCAGATCTATTCTCTCTTGCTCCAGGTTGCAAGACTAGATCTAATGGGTGGGAATTACAAGGGAGTCGTTACCGGCTAAATATCAGGTGAAACTTCCTAACTGTAAGAGTGGTTGAGCAGTGCGGCAGACTGCCTCGGGAGGTGGTGGTGGATGCTCCTTCGCTGGACGTTTTCAAGCGGAGGTTGGATGACCATCTTTTGGGTGTGTTGTAGGGCTATCTTTTGGCTATGCTCCCGCAGAGTGCAGGGGGTTGGACTAGATGGCCTGCAAGGTCCCTTCCAACTCTAACATTCTATGATTCTACATGTCAACATTCTCCTACTGCAGCAGTGATGATGTGGCAAAGGAACCGCCAGATCAATGGGAGCCCCCAATCTGTGGTCCCCCCCCCCACATGTTTCTTCTCCAGGGGCTTTCTTCTCCTCTCAGGCTCCACCTTCAGGAGCAGACCGGCCTCTGCGTTAACTGAGAAGCTCCTTGTGGGCCAATGTCCTGAAGAGACCGCTGGTGGCCTGGAGCAAGCTGATCCAAGAGACCCTGTGGTGCTGGCAGTGGGTTTCCTTGGCTCAGGCCCAGATGGTGGCAACCGTGGCAGTGGGCCTTACCATCCTTTCCACAGACACGGCCCGAGCCAGACAAGGGCCCAGTCACTTGCCTCAGTTTGTGCCAGGGTTGTTTTAACATCCCACTCCGCTCCTGTTCTCCACAAAGTCCCAAGACTCCTCTACTGACGTAGAAGAGTTCTGAGTTACTTCCATGCATCGTTCTCCCCAGTTTTTGCCATCAAGTCACAGCCAAGTTATGGCAACCCTTGACGGCGTGCACGAAGCGTCCGAATAATAAGAGTTTCGGGTTGCTGTGTGAAGCTATATACAGTGGTTTTATTTGCAGAGTATTTACAGACAGTCCGTACCACCATGCGATCTCCAAACCATAGAATTGTCCGACAAGGTGCTTCGCAGTAAACTCATTCACAGGTGTGAACACTTATATTAGGACTGTTCTCCTTATATACAGACTAGCACCAATCAGAGCCTTGTGCTGACTCATGGTGACTATTAATTAAGCTGATGAAACCTAGTTGCAATCGGTACCTGGTGACACTGTCACATGACAGTTTAACCTGTCACACCGATCAGTATGATCTAACTCAATCATACCTGGCGGTCATCTTGCCCAGATATATTACAATATCCTGTCAACCCTATAGGGTTTTCAAGGCAAGAGACATTCAGAGGTGGTTTGCCATTGCCTGACTCCACGCCATGCCCTTGGTATTCCTCGGTGGTCTCCTATCCCAACTACTAGACAGGACTGACCCTGTTTAACGTCCGAGATCTGACGAGATCAGGCCAGCCTGGGCCATCCAGGTCAGATCTCCCTAGATGGGTTTTATTTGTTCTTGTATTGTTTTTAAGAGAACAGTTGATTGTGACATAGCTATTTCCTGGAATATATTGTCAGCCCTTAATGGCCTCTTGTCATCTTACCTCAGCGTTTTGGTTGCTGGTCTTGAGATCCTGAGGAAGAGCGGAAGCGACAACAGCGATGGCAGCATGAACAGGAACGCTTGCTTCAGGTGATTTCCGTTTCCTTGTTTGCTCATCCCACTGTATCCTGCCCTTCCTTAGAGGAAGTTGGTGGCATGTTCATGGGTTTGCCCTCGCAACAACTTCCAGCTTAGCAGTTTCTGAAACCGTTGTTCTCCAGGCTGGTGGTTGCTTGAAATCTCCTCTTCCTCATCTACCAGGGGTTGTGGGCATTGACCGTCATCCCCCCTTTCTCTGCCAGCCACTTACGTGCTCCCATGCCCAGGATGTGGGAGTGGAAGGTTGACATGGAGCAGTTTAAACCAACATCCCCAGTGTTCATGATCCTGCTCCAAATGGATCAGCAATAGTTGTCAGTTGGTTTTACAGAGTCTCCATCAAGTGTAGGGTGGGGACCAGTGTTCCCACTAAGCTGAGTTAATGTGAGCTAGCTCACAGTTTTTTAGCCTCCAGCTCACACCTTTTTGTCTTCGCTCAGGAAGGATGGGGCTCCAGAGCAAACTAATTGATGCAGCGGCCAAATTGCTCGCTCACAACTTTAATGCCAGTAGCTCACAAAGTAGAATTTTTGCTCACAAGACTCCACAGCTTAGAGGGAACATTGGTGGGGACCCTTGGGCAGAAGACCCCTTAATGGCATTTGGGAACACCTGGAACCAGCCCTATGCGATAGGATGTATTTTTTTGTCCTGTTGTTACTTTTCATGGAACAAGTTCTTCAGGTTTTTTCAAACAATAGAACACTATGTTTTCTTGGTGCTTGGGGGGGACAACAGCGGGAGGACTTCTGGATTTCTGACCCCGCTGGTGGACCGCCTGATGGCACCTGGGTTTTGGCTGCTGTGTGACACAGAGTGTTGGACTGTATGGGCCACTGGCCTGATCCAATATGGCTTCTCTTATGTTCTTAATACTAATGACTTCTTACCATTGCGCATACTTTGAGCAGTGATCCTGCTTTCTCAGACCAGATAGCAAGAAGCCAAGGATAGAAGTCCCAATGGTCAGTAGAAAGGGGGGGCCATTGTTACCCCAAGCTACACTGCTGGTTCCTCTAGAGTCTGGATCAGGGGTCATTTCCTGCAGGAGCGCACAGGAGCGGAGCTCCGGCAGTAAAGAGCCCAGGGGGCAGGCACATGCAACAAGCCCCACCCCCTGATCCCAGGAGCCCTCAGTCAGAGCAAGAAGCCGTCAGGTAAGTTGCAGAGCCCCCCCCCCACATCCAAAACAGTCCAGTGGCACCTTTAAGACCCAGTTTTATTCAGGTACAAGCCCTCCCTCCTCTGTGAGGGCAGGTCTGCACATTCCCCCCCACCCAATAGCTGGCAATCCAAAACAGTCCAGTGGAGCCTGAGCGGTGGGTGTTGCCTTCTGACACACTTCCGGTGACATCAGGGGGTGTGGCATATGCAAATGAGTTATGCTAATGAGCTCCTGCACCTCTTTTTCTACGAAATGACCCCTGGTCTGGATTAAGGCTTGAGCTGTGGGACACACCACCAGTATATCCGATCTTGGCTCATGAGGGCCTGTCGGACTAATCCATCTTGGAACTTCCTCTTCTTGAGGAGCCTTAAATGTTCTCCCGTACCATCTCCTACTGAATGCCCCGAGTAGCTGGTTAGGCAGAATGCCCTGATTTAAGACCACCAGATCACGCGAACCTGACAGCCGCATCTGCATTCACAACCGCAAACTTCAGTACTGGATCTTTGTCATTCTGCCTCTCTTTCCTCACAAATATGCACACACACAAGCTCCCTGTTGCTTTACATCTCTTCCTCATGTTCGGCTGCCTGTGGCTTGCGGAATTACGCCAGGAAAATAAACCAGAGCTTTGTGTTGGGATCTCACCAGTGCCTTCCCCAAACCGGGCATTTTTATCTGCATTTAGTCATAATTTGTTTTTCCTGTAAAAACTCTCACCCGCCCACAACCCAGTTTCTAGTTTGGTGACAGTCAGCAATCCCATGCTGTTCGCCGTGGTCGGGCACAAAACATTCCAAGCATCGGCATTCTGTCCCCAGCTCATGTTGATCCTTGTGTTTAGCAAATGGATCAAGTTTGCTCTTTTTTGAACTTGGCCACTACTTTGGTAACTCAACATATAAAGGAGTTATTTGAGCCTGTCGATAGCTGTTGGGTTTTTTGCTTGTGCCATTATTGGGTTTTTTTAGGCCCAGCTCAGTTTCTCTTAGAAGCCTCAACAAACATATCTTTGGTTTGATTACCTAAATTGGCAAAACGTCCATGAAACTGACTGAAAAGTCTGTGTTTGTTGTCTTGTTCCTGCCTTGATCCAGCAAGCACTCGGCTGTGACCGTGCTTCCGCTGGGGTCAGCAGTGCACTTGGCGGTATCAGGGATACGATGCCTGTGTCCAGACTTGTTTGTTTGCCTCATTGCTTTAAGTAGCATTACATCGTCCAATAACATTCTCAAAGGAAGACCAGCAAGGCTGTACCCTCTCCCGTGATGGAGAGCTCCTGTGCAGAGGCTGTGCAATATGGAGGCAAGGGCCAAGGGAATGCGACCTTCATCCTTCCAGAATATGGAAACATCTGCCGTAGGTGCCAGCAGGAGGAAAGAAGAAGAAGAAGAAGAGATTGGATTTATACCCCCGCCCTTCACTACCCAAGGGAGTTTCAGAGCAGCTTACAAACTCCTTTCCCTTCCCCTCTCCACAACAGAGACCCTGTGAGGTAGGTGGGACTGAGAGAGCTCTGACAGAAACTGCTCTTTTTCAAGAACACCTCTGACAGAACTATGGCTTGCCCAAGGTCATCCAGCAGCTGCAAGTGGAGGAGGAAGAAGATAAGAGATTGGATGTATACCCCCGCCCTTCACTACCCAAGGGAGTCTCAGAGTGGCTTACAAACTCCTTTCCCTTTCCCTCCCCACCTGTGAGGTAGATGGGGCTGAGAGAGCTCTGACAGAAACGGCTCTTTTTCAAGGACAGCTGTGCCAGAACTATGGCTTGCCCAAGGTCATCCAGCAGCTGCAAGTAGAGGAATGGGGAATCATACCCGGTTCTCCCAGATTGGAGTCCGCACACTTAACCACTACACCAAACTGGTGGGTGAAAGGGGAAGGCTGCTTTTAGTATAAAGTCCACAAAAGGCTTGTTGCTCTAGGAAAGATTCTGGTCCGATACTCTAATCACTATCTACCATGAACTGCAAGCTTCCTCTTGTACAGTATTTCCTAGGAAAGATGTTGCAGTTTAAGAAAACAGAAATAATACAACTTAACAAATAATACAACTTAACAGGAGTAGATGAGCTTTCTACGTGAGAAAAACCAACCACTCAGCTAATGGTCGTCGTCTCCACTTAGGAACTTTATACATTGTCTGTGTTTATCTTCTAAGCTGACATCGTTTTTCATCTTTCATTTGAATTTTAATGGCAGCCATTTAGGCTGATTAGATTACTGCCAAAGCCAATGTAGCTGTGAAGCCAAGTTAAAGTTTAGTCGAATGAAAACGCAAAGCCTACTTTTCGTCTTACTGAAATGTTCGGTTAATTCTTTTCTTTAAAAAAAATGAAAAGCTCTTCCCGGTCCATATTTTATAGATGAAAAATGTATTCTGGGTTGAAAAACCAACTAATAGTTGATAGCCCAGTTTTCAGCTACTCGGAGACTGTACAGCATGATGCCATACGTTATGGTTTTGATGAGAACATCAGGCTGGTCACAGAGAAGGGAGAAACAGTGTGAGAGGTCATCTTGCTCAGGGCTTCTCAAATTCAATCATTGTGGGTCTTCCTGACCTTTTTTTCTTGACTTGTTTGCCTCTCCCCAAAGTAACAAGGTCGAAAAGAGAGATGATTTTCATAGAATCTTAGCGTTCGAAGCGTTCGTTTTCAAGCTCTGACAAGATTAGGCTCTTCTGAGCCATAAGGGATGCCACAGATATCTTTCTAGCCTTGGACAAAATAAAATGGAGGCTGGGTCCTCAAAAACAGAGCCGTAGCCTGTTTTTTTGGCCATTGAAAGAGACCTCAGCTTTAAAAGCTTGCAAGAACAAAGCGATCGTTTTCTACGCTCAGGAACCAGTTTTTAATGCCAAGCTGTAACGCGAGTCCTCTTCTTAACATTTCATCATAACATCACCCTTTCTTTCTTCCCCCTCTGTTTCCTATACACCCATCTTGTAATTTTTCTCTCAAGGAAAACGTTCTGAAATAGGGTTGCCAAATGTGTTTCGGCTGGGAGCGGGGGGCTCCCGGCCGGCGTCTGTATCTGCCACAAAGAGTTTTCTGCCACAAAGAGTTTTCCCCTCAAATGGCGTGGCCCCGCCCCCAGCGTGCGACGTCACTTCCGGGTGATGCGCACGCGGGGGTGGGTTTTCCCCCAGGCCCGATTTTCGTCACGTCGAAAATCGGGCCGTCAAAGCGGGGGATTCCCCGCCCCCCAGCGCCATTTGGGAACCCTATTCTGAAAAGAGAGAAGAAAACGGTGACAGTGCCAGAGCTACAACTTGCCTTATATCAGGGTGCAGCCAACTTGTATTGCAGACTATTAGATGGAGACAAATTGAATGAAGGGCCATCGCGTTGACTTCTGACACAGGAAATGAACACTTGGAACACTCAGGGTCCAATTAGACGATACGTTAAACGAGAGTTGGGTTGGAAGAAAACCCAACCCAACTTGCATTTAACGTGTGACCTGGGACCTACCTTAAAAATAGTGGGGGAATCTCCTAAGCGCAGTGCAGCAGCAGGAGGGGCTTCATTGTTCCTTCCTTTCTAAATTGCATATTTTTGCTAGCAGAGAAGGGCCAGTGGGGGGGCGGGGAGGTGTTTGTCTCCTTGCTGGTACATCATGTCTTCTGGGCAGACATATGGAACCAAAACAGAAACAAAGCCCATGACCCTTTTCTGCTAGCAAGAGTGCATCTGTTGCATTATATAAACAGACCCTCGGGTTTCTGTATCTCAGTTCCTGGAAGGAGTGAATTGGTGCTGATTTAGGGTTGCCAAGTGTAAAGTACTTACCGGCGGGGGAGCCTTGCCGGGCTCTGGGAGCTGTCCCTGGATCTGTGCGTGCGCAAAGCGCACACACGCCGCCAGCACATCACCGGAAGTGACGTGTGACGCCAATCACGTTGGGGGCGTGGCCCCGATCGTCGGAGGGAAAACCATAGAGTTTTCCCTCCGACGATCGGGGCCACGCCCCCAACGTGATCAGTGTGGTTGCGTTACCTCTGATGACACAGCCACACTGCGCTTCAGGGGGCGGAGTTCCCCCCAGGGCCCGATTCCACAGTGGTGGAAATCGGGCCTCCAAAGCGAGGGTTTACCCGCCACCCGCCCCCACTTGGCAGCCCTATGCTGATTTCCAGCCCAAGCCAGATTCACAGTGGGCGTCCCCTGCCATAGGAATATCTGCTTTGCATTGAACCCGTATTCCGGTTTTTAAAAATGTCCTCCTACTTCCGTTCTTGATTTTCAAAGCAAAACAAAACATAACAAAGAACATGGGGCTGCTGCCAAAAATGGCAGCTCCGTGTTGAGCACTCTCCCCACTTCCCCGACAACTTCTCCAGTGTAGCCTTGCCCTGATGTCACAGCTCCGAATCATTTGCTACTACTGGTGGGAACAAGGGGACAACGGGCTGGATCCAGGGCAGAATTTTCACTTGTGCGAGAGCTCCTGCACAAGCAGAAACATAAGAAAAGACTGCAGTAACTGCTTGCACCAAGTCATCCTTGTTGTATCCCCAGTTGTGTTTCTGATAGCATGAGATTTTGTGCAACAGATTTCTGGGCACCATAATATGTAGGGAGGGAAGCCCTAGTGGTTGTGCAAGATCTTGTGCAAGTGGATCTGTGCGAAGTCAGTTAATGTTTCTGCTTGTGCATCACTGGATCCAACCATAATAGTGTAAACTGAATAGGATAAGCTGAACTATGGGGGAAGAATGTTCGTGGCTGCCAGTTTCACTGGCAGTACTGTGTAATGCATCAGTTCAGATTTAGTTCTTGTAAATGAGCCAAATATCATGATCTGGAAATCTGCTTTGCCTTTTTTTAAAAACTGATAAATAATAAGTGTGTCAGACTAAATTTTGGCTTGCAGCTCTCTCCTGCATCCAGGCAAGGGGCAGGGGGAGTCTCCCTTCTTTCTGTCATATTTCTTGTTGCATTGTCATTTTTATACAGGAAAGGTATCAGAAAGAGCAGGACAAGCTGAAAGAAGAATGGGAAAGAGCCCAAAAAGAAGTTGAAGAGGAGGAGCGCAGATACTATGAGGAGGTATATGGAGCAGGCAGAGACAATACGGTGGTTGGTTTGTTGCCTGGTCCCAGAGGCAAGATGGTAGCGACCTTTTCTGCCTCTCCTTTCTTTTTCATGCTGTAAAATTGCTTTGGTCCGTTTGGACTGAAAGCTTATCATCACTTCTTGCTTCGAAGATCAGAAGGGAGGGTGGTATAACAAGTCTCATTTAATAAATAAATACAGGGGTCATTTCGTAGAAAAAGAGGTGCAGGAGCTCATTAGCATAACTCATTAGCATAACTCATTTGCATATGCCACACCCCCTGACATCACCGGAAGTGTGTCAGAAGGCAACACCCACCGCTTAGGCTCCACTGGAGTGTTTTGGATTGCTAGCTATTGGGGGGGGAATGTGCAGATCTGTCCTCGCAGAGGAAGGAGAGCTTGTACCTGAATAAAATTTGGTCTTAAAGGTGCCACTGGACTGTTTTGGACCAGGGGACCGGGGGGGCTCTGCAACTTACCTGGCTGCTTCTTGCTCTGACTGAGGGCTGCTGGGAGCAGGGGGTGGGGCTTGTTGCATGTGCCCATCCCCTAGGCTCTTTACTGCCGGAGCTCCACTCCTGTGCGCTCTTGCAGGAAATGACCCCTGAATAAATATAGAATATGGAGTGCTGAGCTAGAGTGACCTTTGCTCTCATCCAGTTTTTCCAGTTGTGTTTTGACTTCCATGCATTTAACATTTCAATTGAAAGAGAAAGGAGGCATCACAGACAAACGTTAGCATCTTCAACATTTGGCACAGGCTATTTTTGTCATTTTGTTTGGCAGGCACGTTACAACATCTGGCTAGCAGCTAGGATGCTTGTAAAACTTTATACTTAAATACCTTTCTGATTGTCTAACACACTCATCAAATAATTTTTGATGGCCAGTCACATCTTAATCAGCATAATAGTTTCCCAGACTGCCACTTTGTACCACGGTTCTTGGATGAGCACTTAGTTGTTCAGATGGTGCTGATACTAATCAGGGCTTTTTTTGTAGAAAAAGCCCAGCAGGAACTCATTAGCATAATAGGCCACACCCAACAGCAGAAACTCATTCGCCTATTAGGCCACACCCCTGACAGTGCAGCTCATTAGCCACACCCCATGATTTCTCTTGACTTGCCTGGGCGCCCCAGGCTGCAGGGAGCCAGGGCAAGCCGGCCCTTGGACAGGCCGGGGAAGGCACCGGGAGGCATTTAAATGCCTCCCCGATCCTTTCAGGGGGGCCCTGGCCTGCCCGCCTCGGAGCCGCCAGGGGTTGCTCTCCAGGCCTTCCCTCTGTAGCCACGCATGCAGAGGTTTTGGCTGTAGTGGGCATGGCCAACCCTGAAGCCAGCCGGAACTCTGTTCCTGTTCGTTCCTGCCCAAAAATAGCCCTGATACTAATTAGATCTGTCTTCTGCAAGGTGGACTGCCTAGGACGCGGCGCCGAATACCTATGCCTCCAAGGGCCAAAACGTTTATGCAGAACCTCTGCAGGCTGCTGTTTGTGCTCTGCTGTTAGAAATTTGAGAATGAGAGCCCAAACCATGCCTTTGAATTATCAGTAGGACAGCATTACTATTATAAACATGAATGATCTTGACCAGCAATGTTTGTGATTGAGCTGGGTAGCTTGAGCTGCATACGCTTACATTTGGTTACATTTTTTGTGTCTGTCTCCAAGATTTGTGTCTCCAAATAATTCATAATATTATAGTCAGAATTAGGGGTGAATGAGCAGAGGCACTGGAAGCTAGACAGCCAGCAGGGTGAGGCAGCAAAGATGATTAACTGCAAGGGATTAACTAGCAACTCTACATTGTACCAAAAGATGACTTTGGCTTCTGTCAAACTATTGTGGCAAAAGGACTGTACTTGTTAAGTCGTTCACTTAACAAAGTAGTCGGAGAGTGATTTCAGCAAAAGATCAGCTTTATTCAACGATTGTAACACAACTCCAACACAGATCAACATCTGATAGCCAGAACAGCTTTAGCATTGAGGCTGTTCCACTTTTAAACTCTCCCGGCTAATGTAGCCACGCCTACTATACAAATACCAACCTATGAGGTTGCAGGGATAAAGTCCAATCACAATCGTTCCCGCTCTTGGAACTGGCTGTTGGTGATTGGTCGGCTCTTCCTGGGCTACCAATTACAATTGAAGGGTTAGGATCCTAGCCCAGGATGAAAGCTTCACATGGTGATTCAATGAGTGAGTTCACATACGTACATTGTCAGACTGAATACACCACAGTACTGTATCACACAAGTGCATGCTTGAATGAGTCCTTGCCCTGGTTGCTAACTGTGGGGTTGGCTTTACGCTTCTTCCTCCATAGATTTTATCTGGGGCTACCTCAATATTTTTTCTTCTTTTAGGAACGCAGGATCATTGAGGACACTGTGGTTCCATTCATGGTCACGTCAAACTCCACAGATCCCTTGTCAACGTCTTCGTCTCTGACTGATGGAAATGGGGCTATGGTGAGAACTACTAGAACATACAGTAGAAACAAGGCAGTCTAAAGCTGATTTTTCTAAATTATGTAGTGAAATCTTAATATGATCTTAAGAAGTTCCAAGAACAATATGAAAGGCAGATTCAGGTGGGTCGCCGTGTTGGTCTGAAGCAACAGAACAAAGTTTGAGTCCAGTGGCACCTTTAAGACCAACAAAGTTTAATTCTGGGTATAAGCGCCCATGTGCATGCAAAGCTCCATTGTATAACAACTGCAGGCAGCAGTGGTTAGGATTGTATGTGGCCTTTTTTTAAGTAGAAAGCTCCATTGTTTAACAACTGTGGCTCAATGCATCATTCAGAAAACCTCATGTCAAATCATGACTGAGTATGCTCAAGAATTATGGTCTCAGTAGACAAGTCGTGGGTTGGGATTGTCTGGCAGACCAAAATCAGAAGCCATGCAGGAGCGGAGCTCCGGCAGTAAAGAGCCCAGGGGGCGGGCACATGCAACAAGCCCCACCCCCTACTCCTAGCAGCCCTCAGTCAGAGCAAGAAGCAGCCAATTAAGTTGCAGAGGCCCCCTCCCAGCCCAAAACAGTCCAGTGGCACCTTTAAGACCAAGTTTTATTCAGGTACAAGCTCTCCCTCCTCTGCGAGGACAGATCTGCGCGTTCCCCCCCCCCCCCAATAGCTAGCAATCCAAAACAGTCCAGTGGAGCCTGAGCGGTGGGTGTTGCCTTCTGACACACTTCCGGTGATGTCAGGGGATGTGGCATATGCAAATAAGTTATGCTAATGAGTCGTGCTAATGAGCTCCTGCACCTCTTTTTCTATGAAATGACCCCTGCATAAGTGTGTTTGCAAACTTGATTTCTGCTAACTGTGATTTGGTCACATGTCTGAATTGACACTCTGTTCATTGCACTGCCTCGAGAAACTATGTCACCAAGGAAGTAGGAAGTGAATTTGTTAATCTGAGGATTGAAAAGATGGAAAGCAGCCAAGCAGCTTTAAACCAAAGTTTGTTGTTGATGGGAATGCAAGTCCTAGGCTGGTGTGTGAGCCGAAATTCTAATCAGCTTTCCTTCATGCATAAAAAATGTACTGTCCCCAGGCATTCTGTATACTTCTCATGTGGTATATTTGAAAACTAAAGCCAGGTCAAGACTTGTATAATAATTTTCTGTTCTTCTCTCTCTCTCTCCAATAGAACATACTAGATGCAAGCAACTCCGAAGAGATAAATAAGCAAAAAGAAGAAAAAATATTGAAGAAAGTGTTTTGTGAACAGGAAAAGAACAAGGAGCATGAACCATGGAAGGAAAACATAAGGTCTCTGTAAGGCATAGCATTTTGTAGGGCATGTCTGCACAGAAGCTTCTTGTGCAGAAACATACAAGCTCTGCACGTTTTGTGTTATCACCCGCTAAAATGCAAAAGTTCTGTTATTGATTAAATGAAGAAACACAGAAACATGAAGTGTGATGATGGATCAGTGCTTCTTGTTCCTTCTGCATCATCACCATCATCAACTTCTCTTCTTATAATCACATCATAATCTTCTCTGAGGGAGAGTTCACACATGCATACTCTCCACTCAGTGACTTGGATCTAAACGTCGTTTTCCACCACCGTGGAAGCGCATTTCCACCAGTAGGAATGGGGAGTAATGTTTACCAATTTTCTCCTCCCCAACAAACTCCCACCTTTCCCACAATGCTGCTGGGGGGTGGGGGGGGAGTCCCTGATCCCTGTGCAGCGGGAGGTATGGAGACTGTCCTCCTGTCTGAGGTCCACAACCACTACTTTGTGTCCAAGTCAGTGGTCGAGTCATAGATCGGCTTTCACGTCTGAAACACGAGATCAAACGCCAGGCAGTCCTGCTTCTTAATTATCACGGCATACTCAGCGCTGTCAAATGGAGGCAGTTTGCTCATCCATTTGTGAGTGGCCAGATGCTCGAGAGATGGACTTGTGAATCAGTTTTCATTAAGCCGTCATTAAGAGGTCCTGTCTTCATTTGCTTCTAATGTCTTGTAAAGGAACCTGCCGTATAAGCCCTGCAGCATACATTAGGTAGTATGAGACAGATACCCATTCCCCATGAACAAGACGGTGCTTATTCCATAAGAACACTCCAGCACTTACCTATCAATCAATAGCTCATTACGATCCAAGATCAGAAGCCAAGATCATCAACATAACACATACACCTTAGTCATGGATATTCTGAACAAAAATATACATATGGTAGAATAACAATTGATAAAACAAGTCTGTATTCTTCTGCCTGACTGAGTGGGCCAAGGCACAGAATCTAGCTACTTTAAAGGTAGTTTCATTACAGTGATAGGCAAGAAGAGAACTATAAAACTGTTTGGATCTACCTGGATAAGTAAGATACGTATTCCAAATGTTCTGGTATAATTGAAGTAAGATAAATATTCCGAATGTTCTGGTAAAACCAGCAATATAAGAGGACATGCTCGATGGTTTCTACCATTCCAGCTTGGCATGGGCAGAGATGTTTCACATACGGGATGCATGCATATCTCCTTTCAAGGAGAGCCAGCCATGTTGACCCCACAGGCAGCTACTACACTCTGTGCATGCATGCGTTCACACACACAGAGAGACATTTTCCATACAAACGGGTCTCCCTGCTCCTGCATTTAGTGTAGTGGTGTAGTGGTTTGGTGTAGTGGTGTAGTTTGGTGTAATCAGTTTGGTGTAGTGGTTAAGTGTGCGGACTCTAATCTGGGAGAACCGGTTTGATTCCCCACTCCTCCGCTTGAACCTGCTGGAGGACCTTGGGCAAGCCATAGTTCTGACACAGCTATTCTTGAAAAAGAGCAGTTTCTGTCAAGAGCTCTCACAGCCCCACCTACCTCACAGGGTGTCTGTTGTGGGGAGGGGAAGGGAAAGGAGTTTGTAAGCCGCTCTGAGACTCCTTGGGTAGTGAAGGGTGGGGTATAAATCCAATCTTCTCCTCCTCCTCCTCCTCCTCCTCCTCCTCCTCTTCTTCTTCTTCCAGCGCAGCATCAGACTTCCCTGTTTCCGGGAATTCCCTTGCTGCGCCACAAGAGGGAGCAAACTGCTGTTTTGCTCCTTGGACTGCAAATACCTCTGCAAAAACCAGCCCCGTAGCTAAGGAGTTTTGGAGGAGGGGGCCTGGGGGAGCCACCAGCCAAATTAACTTTGATTTAATTGGTGGAATTCCTAATGCTGCCCCGGCTGCAACCGAGGGGGGAGGAAAGCACTGTTGCCAACAGCAGGGACAGCCCTTGCACCGCGGACTAGCCCTTGGGTCTTGCGGGTGTGCCAGGGCGCTCTCTCTCACTCTCTCTCTGCCTCCCTTGGTGACTGGCCACCAGCAAGCACCCTGCCAGGCTTCCACGCCTCCCTCCCTCTCAGGGTGGACATGGACAGACAGGAGGCAGCTCCTCAGACGGCCACCTCACCCAGGATGCCCCGCCTCCACTAGCCCCACCGCCACTGACTCCGCCAGGTGGCCACCAGTGCCTCCTGCTTCGTGAGGCACATTTTTGAAAAATCACAGAGAGTTCTGAACACGGAACTCCTGGCGAAAGTCTGGATTGGCCATGTTTGGCCTCAGCAGAGGACCACATAGGCTGGCAGCGTCCGTCTCCTCTAGATAGATACCAAGACTCCCACTGAACTCTTACCCGAGTGTAGCCTCCTCAGAGCAAAGCTTTAGAAGTCTCTGGGAACACGGAGCTTCCAGCCACGTCTAGCTGGGCAGTACAGCGATCACGCTCAGACTGGCTCCCTGGAGCAGCAGCAGGCAGCGCGGAGTCATCGGCTGTTGGGCTGAGGGCAGTGACAGGAGGGAGAGAGGGGGAGCCGAGGATTGGAGAGGGGCCTGTAAAAACCATGGGGAGGGTGGGCCCCGTGAGCCCCGCGGTAGCTACGGGCCTGGCGGAAACAAAAGAAAGTGGTGGAGGAATACAATTGCAGGAGCGTGGAAGACATCATACACTAGTTTCTGTCCCTTCTGTAGATCAGAGGAGTGTCCGTAATTCTGCTTGCTATTGCTAGCATGTTTGTTATTGAACAGATTAGAAGAGTAGGCTGAAGCTGTACCTGGAAGCAACGAAACAGAGCATCTGATTCCAAGAAGGTAGACACTTTAGGTTAGATCCAGACACTTTTCCAGTGGCAGAATGGAACCGTCCTGCCTCACTCCTCTCACTGCAGCCCACTGATCTCCACAAAATGCTGCTTCTGGGGTACATGGGGACCCCGAGGACTGGCATGAGGGGGGGGTCTGCAGCAGAATGGGGGGGGCTAGTGGATATTGCCAACTTGGTCTAGATCCAACCCTGCTTCTGTATCTGTTCACTGGTAGCTAATACACGTGTCTTATATTTATTAAGCACTCACAAGTCTGATTTGATATTGTTTGTGTCTTTCTTTGTAAGCAGCGTAAATAAAGTAGGACATCTAGAAGAAAGTAATCAGAGAGGAAATGAGACAGATAATCCGACATCCATGCCAGAATGCAAACCTCCAACCAGAATGACTTTGCCATTATGTCAGGGTATGTGAAGATATTTTTTTAAGCTCTTCTTCAAACCAAAAACCTACGTAGTCTTTTTAACAACTCCTCTTGCTTCGGAAACGCAATCTACAGTTCTGCTTGCTACTATTATTTCGGACTCTGATAGGATTAGGATTTTTTTGGCAAATGCTATGTAGGAAGAAAATTAACATAGTTTAAGAGGACATTGAGAGTATGCAAATACTTAGAATTTAGGAGACTAGTTGGTTTAGGAGTACAATTTTAGAGTGTCGCTCCCGACATCACCAATGCACTGATGCCCCTCAGATCCCCCCGCCGGCACGACAAAGGGAACTGGCAACCCTATTCTGGATGCCTCTTGCCATGAAAACCCTATCGGGTCACCATAAGTCAGCTGCAACTTGACAGACCCGCAGTGGAACTGGCTGTCTTCTGCTGCTTCTTCCAGTTCTGCTGCTGCTGCGTCATCGTAGGTTTGCAGCTTACAGATACACACCTGAACAGCATACTCAAGATTGCAACAGCACAGACATTTTGATGCAATGATTCAGAGCAAGAGGTGTCACTGATCAGACACTGTTAAATAAGCAAAATATTGCAAGAGTGCCAATGTTTTGAGCATGTTTTTATTTTGTGTTTTTTAAAAAAACACCCTTTGTGGTTGTGTCCTTTATAAAGTTTATATCTCCGCTACCTGGCATTACATTTTATGACACATATGGCCCAGCCCAACAAGGTCTCATTTATGTCAGATCCGGCCCTCATAACAAATGAGTTCAGCACCCCTGGTGTACACCACCAGAGAAAAGGTTGCCTTGTCATTTGCCAGCCATAACAATATAATTTTAAGACAATATAATTTTTTTTTTAAACACAAGGCCGCATTTTAAAATGTGGGTCTGTCAAACAATAGTTTAACCAAAACTGTTTGCTTATTCTGGATCTTCCTTTTCAGAAGTGCCATGGACTCAACAGTTATTAACTAAACAGAGCCCACATGCCTCAGACACAAGACAGAAGACCTCACCCTTGGAGAATAATTTAGGCCTGCCAGCCAATTCCACAAAAGAAACTAGGAGGTAGGTAATGGCAGTTTGCTTGCTAGCTTATTTTCTCAGTCTTCTTAGTAAGAGAGGTGTGACAGCACAGACTCCTCAGGCAGGGACTCTGGGGAGGTGGAGCATTTCTTGGAAGGCCCCTGTTCCTTGGGCCTCTCCAAAGCCTTGTCAGGGGAGAAGGGCTTGTGATCTACACAGCGGAAAGAAGGAGGAGGAGGAGGAGATTGGATTTATACCCCACCCTTCACTCAGAGTCTCAGAGCGGCTTACAAACTCCTTTCCCTTCCCCTCCCCACAACAGACACACCCTGTGAGGTGGGCGGGGCTGAGAGAGCTCTGAGAGAACTGCCCTTTCAAGGACAGCTCTTGTCAGAACTATGGCTTGCCCAAGGCCATCCAGCAGGTGCAAGTGGAGGCGTGGGGAGTCAAACCCGGTTCTCCCAGATTAGAGTTCACACACTTAACCACTACGCCAAACTGGCTCTCTACACCAAACTGATATGACACCTGATAGGCAGTCTACAGAAAAGGTAAAATGTTCCAGGCGTGTAGGCCTGTATCACATTAGATAGCAGGCAGTGGGTTTCATGGAGGCTCTTCCAAATTAAACATGTCAAGGGAAAGTGGGGGTTTCAGCTTAGACTCTGCCCTAAAATGTGTAGGGAGATTATTGTTACATGAGGGACTGTTCAAATATGTGACAAGCTGATGTAGGGATGTCAACCCCCCTGGTTTGCCAGGGGTCCCCCGTTTTTTGGGAGGGTTGTACCCGCCGCCGGTGGGGGAAGCCCCACCCCCAATACCCACAGCCACCCCTCTCCCTTCTCTCTTGAGAGAGAGGGGTGGCTGCCTTTAAGTGCATGGACGTTTCCTCCCAAGCCCGATCTCTGCTTGAGATCAGGCTTGCAGGGAAATGTCACCTCCGTGCACCTAAAAGGGAAATGCCGGCTCTTTGCTCTTAAAGGGGAAACGCCGGCTCCGTGCACTTAAAAGGGAAAGGCCGGCTCCTTTAAGTGCAGGGAACTGGCCTTTCTGGAGATCGAGCAGGCGGGGCGGCGGATGTCCCCAATGTGACGTCATCACGTCGGGGATGCCCCACCCCCTCCAGGAACGCCCCCAAAGTCCCCCGCTGGGGGCGGAAGATGGACTTGACAACCCTATGCTGATGTGTAGGAGTGAAGTTGAAACACAGTTTTACCCTTTGATCTGTGGTTTGCAGGAACAGGCCGTGACTCAGTCTCTGGTCAGCAAATTGCGTCCCTAAGGCCCAGAAGCTGAACCTTTGTCCCTGACAACCTGCCACCCCCTAGAACTACCCAAAGTGCTACCCAAAGTGACAGAGGGGGTCTTAAGAACTATTCAGCATTGCTAGATAGAAGGCTGCCGTATATTAATACTGTTTCCTGATTGCCACTGAAGGGCAGAGCTTTTCCTGTTAACACTTCACCACTGTTCTTTTCTCCCTTGTACTTCAGGGCAGGCTGCCAAGAGAGCGTCGGGACTGGGCCACAATCGCCAAGTTCTCTAACAGTACAAAGCCAGTCACCCAACAGGTATAGGAAGGCCTATGAGCTGGTTCACTGCTTTCATAAAGTTATGGTTTCCAACCAAGACTTCCTGTCTGGTGAATGCACTTGATTTCACATCCCTACTTACAGTGCAATCCTAAGTAGAGTTAGACCTTTCTAAATCCCCTGCTGTCCATGGCTGTAGAAGGGTGTAGCTCAGTTTAGGATTACCCTGCAACCCACTTAGGTTCTTAAACATATTTCTTGCATTGAAATCAGAGATTTATTCAATGCCACTTTGAAACATGGAGTCCTGGTCTTGCGGAAGATGGTTGATCTGAAGCTTAGGGATCCAGTTGATCGAGTTGCAGCATCCTCATAACCCATTATGAACATGGAGAACCTAGAAATGGTGCTTGGTAGACATTGGATGAGTTGATACAATAAATACAATTGTTGTGTTCTCTGTTGTGTGGGTGCTTTACTTTATTGACAGAGAAGACTGACACGGAATCCGCACTAAGTGTGCAGTCTGTTCATTTTCCACATGGGGGTGTCTAATAAAAATATATCTCCCATTTCTAGAGACGCTGTATAGCCTCTGGAACTCCAGTTTGGTTTTCTGCTAGTGCTTGACCTCTAGTTGCTTGGGAGGATGGCTGGTAGGCCTCTCCCAGGAGAATATTCTTTGTATGTTTTTATTAACACCCTCTCAAGTTCTTATCTAAGAAAGCTGACTTGTTTTTCTCAGCTATACGGTGCCAGGTACAAGATATGACCTGGCTCCTCTCCATGTTTAGTATGCAGCTTTGAGCAGTGGAAAGCTAGTCACAGTGAGGCTGATAAAACGGAACACAGGCTATGGCAAATAAAATGCAAGTCTGAGGTCAGGCAGGCAAAAAGGGAATATGAGGAGCATATAGCAAAAAACGTAAAAAACGACGATAAAACTTTCTTCAAATACATTAGAAACAGGAAACCAGCCAGGGAGGCAGTGGGGCCCTTGGATGACCAAAGGGTAAAAGGAGTACTGAAGGATGATAGGGAAATTGCTGAGAAGCTAAATGCATTTTTTGCCTCTGTCTTCACTGTGGAAGATGAGAAGTGCTTGCCCACTCCAGAACCACTGATTTCAGGAGGGGTGTTGAAAGACCTGAGTCAGATTGAGGTGACAAGAGAGGAGGTCCTAAAACTGATAGACAACTTAAAAACTGATAAATCACCAGGCCCAGATGGCATACATCCGAGAGTTCTGAAAGAACTCAAATGTGAACTTGTGGATCTCCTGACAAAGATATGTAATCTTTCCTTAAAATCTGCCTCCATTCCTGAGGATTGGAAGGTAGCTAATGTCACTCCCATCTTTAAAAAGGGTTCCAGAGGAGATCCGGGAAATTACAGGCCAGTCAGTCTGACGTCGATACCGGGTAAATTGGTGGAAACCATTATTAAGGAAAGAATTAGTAGGCACATAGATGAACAAAACCTATTGAGGCAGACTCAGCACGGTTTCTGTAAGGGAAGATCTTGTCTCACTAACCTGTTAGTGTTCTTTGAGGGGGTGAACAAACATGTGGACAAGGGGGATCCAATAGATATTATTTACCTTGACTTCCAGAAAGCTTTTGATAAAGTTCCTCATCAAAGGCTCCTAAGTAAGCTCAAAAATCATGGGATAGAAGGACAAGTCCTTTTATGGATCAAAAACTGGCTAGTTCATAGAAAACAGAGAGTGAGTGTAGGTGGGCAATTTTCTCAGTGGAGGGTGGTAAGCAGTGGGGTACCGCAGGGATCAGTACTTGGTCCACTGCTTTTTAACTTGTTCATTAATGATTTGGAGATGGGAGTAAGCAGTGAAGTGGCTAAATTTGCGGATGATACAAAGTTGTTCAGGGTGGTGAAAACCAGTGAGGATTGTGAGGCACTCCAAGGGGATCTGTCAAGGATGGGCGAGTGGGCGTCAACATGGCAAATGGGGTTCAATGTGGCCAAGTGCAAGGTGATGCACATTGGAGCCAAAAATCCTAAATATAAATACACATTGATGGGGTCTGAACTGGCAGAGACTGAGCAAGAGAGAGATCTTGGAGTTGTAGTGGATAACTCACTGAAAATGTCGAGACAGTGTGTGACTGCAATAAAGAAGGCCAATGCTATGCTGGGGATTATTAGGAAGGGTATTGAAAACAGATCAGCCAATATAATAATGCCCCTATATAAATCAATGGTGAGACCTCATTTGGAATACTGTGTGCAGTTCTGGGCACCACACCTTAAAAAGGATATTATAGCTTTGGAAAAAGTGCAGAAAAGGGCAACTCGAATGATAAAAGGGTTGGAACACTTTCCCTATGAGGAAAGGTTAAAGCGCTTAGGGCTCTTTAGCTTGGAGAAAAGACGACTGAGGGGTGACATGATCGAGGTTTATAAGATTATGCATGGGAAAGAGCAGGTAGAGAAAGAGGTACTTTTCTCCCTTTCTCACAATACAAGAACTCGTGGGCACGCCATGAAACTGCAGAGCGGTCGGGTTAGAACGGATAAAAGGAAGTACTTCTTCACCCAAAGAGTGATTAACACATGGAATTCACTGCCACAGGAAGTGGTGGGTGCTACAAGCATGGACGGCTTCAAAAGGGAATTAGATAAGCATATGGAGCAGAGCTCCATCAGTGGATATTAGCCACAAGGTATAGATAGGGGCTCTGGGGCAAGTGATGCTCTGTCTTCTTGGTGCTTGGGGGGGTCAACAGTGGGAGGGCTTCAAATGTCCTGGCCCCACTGCTGGACCTCCTGATGGCACTGGTATTTCTGGCCACTGTGTGACACAAAGTGTTGGACTGGATGGGCCTTTGGCCTGATCCAACATTGGCGTCTCTTATGTTCTTATGTTCTTATGTTGACTTGTAGCCAGCGATTAAGATATAAGATGTTTAGTTTTTGCTCTGTGTGTGTGTGTGTGTTTATTTACGTTTAATAGCCCGCAGGCTATACACCATAAAAAGAAAATTTTAAGAGTTTTAAAGAACAGTAAAACAAAAATTTGCCACATCTACAATGCAGTTTTGGCAGAGGCTGCTCAGGAGTAGTCATAATCTTGCTACATCAGGAAAATATGAATATTTCAACAGCCATTTTCTTAGCTTTGTATCTTGGATTATGGCAAGTTTCGCTGTATGTGTGTGTTCGAGGTCTAGTGGATGGAAACTTAGCCTGCTATTTATGTAAGCATGCTGATTTATTAAAATCTCCTTGTAAGCAAACCTGGATCTTTCTTGGGATGGCTGCAAACCTTGGAGCTTCTGGCCAGGGCTCCCTATAGATTGGGTTATTCCCTCCATTCTGGCATATGTACCCAAATACAAAACCTACTGCAAAGAAATGGCTTTGTGAGCCAGTCATTGACAGATGATTACAGAGTTAAACCACATCATTCAGACACTTAATATTTTCATTTTTAGCGGGGACCTATTCTTGTTTGTCAAAGACATTGGGGGGGGTCTCATCACAGAATTCGTTCTGCACATTCATGAGATACCTGTGGATCAATCAAAGCCAACCCTGAATACTTAATATTTTTTTTGTCATTTTAGGTCTATCAGTGGAAGAAAGCTCTGTTCTAGCTGTGGACAAGTTCTGGGGAAAGGAGCGGCCATGATTATCGAAACCCTTGGTCTTTATTTCCATATTCAGTGCTTCAGGGTAGGGTTTTCTAATGTGTTCTCCCTGCCTAAAGGTTGCCGTCCACATTGTCCTGTTGTTCTGTCAAGAAGCTGCTCCTCGCTACAACTGGGGAGTGGACAGATTCTGAGCCAACACCAAATGTTTTATAAAGGTGTTTGTAATCCTGGGAGCTGCGGTGGCTCAAGTGGTTAAAAGGTGTTTGTAATCCTGGGAGCTGTGGTGGCTCAAGTGGTTAAGACACTGAACTGCAGGCTGTGGAAGGTCGGTAGTTCAGCAGTTCGAGACCCGGGTGCTGCATGACGGAGTGAGCTCCGGTCTCTAGTTCCAGCTCCTGCCAACCTAGCAGTTCGAAAGCAAGAAATTGCAAGTAGATAAATAGGTACCACTCCAGTGGGAAGGTAACAGCGTTCTGTGCGCCTTGGTGTTTAGTCATGCCGGCCACATGACCACGGAAACGTCTTCGGACAGCGCTGGCTCTTCGGCTTTGAAACGGAGATGAGCACCGCAACCCTAGAGTTGGATTCGACTGGCTTTCGAGCAAGGGAAACCTTTACCTTTAACTAAAGCCAGTATCAGTTGGTAGTGTGGATGTGCCCTGACAGATCCTTCACTGTATCCACTCTTTCTTCACAAATAGTGTGGAATTTGCAAGGGTCAGCTTGGAGACGCAGCCAGCGGCACAGATGTCCGGATTAGAAATGGTCTTCTCAATTGCAACGATTGTTACATCAGATCCAGAAGTAAGTGCCAAGTGTCTGTTCTCAATTTGATATGGGCTGTTTGTTTTCCTTTTTCTTTTCAATGCTGAATCCTGCAGCTGTCTATAAGCCTGTCTAGCATAGGGACTTGATTCAGACATAATGCAAAACCACAGTTTATTTTAACCATGGTTAGTTTGTGAATTCTGGATGCCTCACAAATGCTGGGTTTGCTGCTGTTGCTCGGGCCACGTGTCTCTGTGGCCAGGGAGCATTTGAGGGCATTGCCAGGATTAAACCAGGATGTCTGTATTCACACATCCCACAAAACCCTAGCTAAGCCTAACTGTGGTTAATAAACCAACTTCAGACCCTGGTTTCAGGTCCTGGTTTGACAGACTCCAAATAATCAGAGTGGCATTCCGACAATCACTCTTAACTAGCCTAACTAGCTAATTAGTTCTGCATGTTGTCTGTACTGAGTTATACCCTTGTCCCGATTTAACGTCTTCAGAAAACGCTTGCTATCGGAACCAATTTTTACCCTCAAAAAATTGCATTCCAGAATACTTTTCTGCTTTCTTTTTTGAAATCTTGCAAGAGGATTTTTACGTACTTTGAGGATTATTGCATTTGCACCAGAGATGCCTTCTCCTTTTCGGTTCCACTCATACCTGGAAGAAATAGACGTACAAAAACAGTTGGTAGTCAGTCCCAGAGTTGATGGAATATCACTTGGTAGGTGAACAGTCGGATTCTCTCTCTCCGTCCCTAAGGACGGCACATGGAAGGGAGTGGTGGTGCAAGCAGTAAATGCCTGCAGTACTCCATCTGACCGAACAGCTTCAGCTGTTTGAGTCCCACCGCGGCCGGGGTGAGCTCTCGGCCCTTGTCCCAGCTCCCGCCCACCCAGCAGTTCGAAAGCCTTAAGCAACTAGATAAATTGGGTACCTACTCATTAGGAGTGGGGGGGCACCCTTCTCCCCCTTGGCTGAAGTTCCATGACAGCGACGACTGCGGCAGGCTGGTGAGTGGGCTGGAAGGAAAAAGATGGCGGTGGTGGCGAGGCAGCAAGCAGGAGCGATTGGCCCCGGAGGACAGCGCGGCGGTGACATGAGGTAAAAGGCTGGCTGACTGGAGGGAGCCGAGACGCGGCAAGATCGTATGTTGCCGAAAAACCCAGCAGGGGTCACTGCTGAAAAAAGAATGGAAGACCTGCACCTGCGTCTAGCAAAGACCTGAAAGACCTGCGTCAGTAAAAACATCGCCAGCACCAAGCAAGAACCGCCGTGGGAAAAAGCTAAAAAGAAAAGATGACCCTGCCGAAAATAGGGGGTGCCTGGGTAAGGAATTCACCTTCCCTATGTGCCCCTAGGTTAGAAAAACTGTACGAACTATGTAAACTGCCCCGAGTCTACGGAAAGGGGCGGTATAGAAATCCAATGTGTAATGTAATGGAATGGAAGGGGGTGCTAGCAGGAGCATAATCTCTCTACACTGATGATGGTGGAAGAATTTCAGCTGATGCTCCCCTCCCTGCACCTTTGTAAACTCTTACACTAGCACAAGCCGTGAGGAGCAGATGGAGGAATCTGCTAGCTTCCATGGGTCTTGGATCTCTACTAGCTTCCTTGGGTCTTGGTTTTGATGTGTGTGTTTTTTTTTAAATTCCATTCAAAAATCAGTGCAAACAGCTCAGAGGGGATGGAGACTTGTTATCAGCCTATTTGTGTGGTAAATCTCCCGCTCCCCACTGGCCCACTGCACTGAGCAGAAAGAATCCAGGTTCAGCTTTGAGCTACACCTTTTCCAGCGTGCCTCCTGGGCCCTCTAATTCTTTGCACAAGGGAAAAGACTTCTCTGCCTGCCAGCCCAGAAGAAGAAGAAGAAGAAGAGATTGGATTTATACCCCACCCTTCACTACCCAAAGGTGTCTCAGAGCGGCTGACAATCTCCTTTCCCTTCCCCTCCCCACAACAGACACCCTGTGAGCAGTGTTCCCTCTAAGCTGAGTTAGTGTGAGCTAGCTCACAGTTTTTTAGCCTCCAGCACACACATTTTTGTCTTAGCTCAGGAAGGAGGGCTCCAGAGCAAACTCATTGATGCAGCAGCCAAATCACTTGCTCACAAGTTTAATGCCAGTAGCTCAGAAAGTCACATTTTTGCTCACAAGACTCCACAGCTTAGAGGGAGCATTGCCTGTGAGCAATGCTCCCTCTAAGCTGTGAAGTCTTGTGAGCAAAAATTCTACTTTGTGAGCTACTGGCATTAAAATAGTTGTGAGCAAGCGATTTGGCTGCTGCATAAAACAGTTTGCACTGCAGCCATCCTTCCTGAGCTAAGACAAAAAGGTGTGAGCCGGAGGCTAAAAAACTGTGAGCTAGCTCACACTAACTCAGCTTAGAGGGAACACTGCCTGTGAGGTAGGTGGGGCTGAGAGAGCTCTTGACAGAAACTGCTCTTTTTCAAGAACAGTTCTTATCAGAACTACAGCTTGCCCAAGGTCATCCAGCCAGGTGCAAGTGGAGGAGTGGAGAATCAAACCCGGTTCTCCCAGATTAGAGTCCACGCACTTAACCACTACACCAAACTGGCTCTCTACACCAAACTGGCTATCCATCACCTATGTCCTGTACATGTCATGACTAATGAAAGGAATCACAGGAAATGTATTGTTTCCGGGGAACACTTTCTGCTTTCTACAGAGGGAGAGAATAAGAAAAGACAAGTCCTACAGAGCTGCTTTTGAGGCTCAGGAACAATTGCACTACCAGAAAAATAGAGGGTGCTGTTGTATAGCATTTCAGTGTGTGTAAAACTGATGTCATTCTGGTTAGGAGATGTGTTTATTTTCCCAGATACTCGCCTGCTATCAAAATGACTAAAAATGCAAAAACAGTTCTTTAGAGACATAGATTTGATCTTTTAAACCTTCATGTGCCTATGACTTGGACTCTAACCGCTGTGTCACCCTCCAGGACAGGAGAAAGGCAACAGGTAACTGGTCAGCTCTGAGCCAATGCCTGTTTCCACCTGGATACTGAGCTAAGGGAACTTTGGTTGAATCCAGCAAGAGATTTTTTAGGCAGGAGAATATACTCTGGATCACTGGATTCACATCAATGGGGTCTTCAACCATCCTGATCTAACACTCTTGCTTGGTAAATTTGCATTAGATCAGTTGATCGTGGAGATTCTAGATTTTAAAAAAACAAACAAACCCAGAGCTCATGCAAGACTGGAGTTGGGCTACCTGTGCTCTAGTCACCGGCGAAATAAACTTACAGCTTAAGAATGTAAAACATTACAACCGTAAGAATCCATTGACTGTTTATGTATTTCTGTAACTGGGTTTCCGAGGTCTGAAAAACTGGCGAGGGTTTCCTGTGCCTATGGGATGCGTGTTCTCCACTCCCAGCCTTACCGTTAATCATTTGTGCACAAGACTGACATTGGAGCATGCAGACATATTATTTTTTTCCTTATCAAAAATAAGTAGCAGTACTGATAGTATGTAAGGCTATGCATTGGGCTAGATGCATGGTGAGCTTGCTAATGTCCAAACAATAACATTTTGACAGTTTAAATGGCTGCTCTGTTAAACAAAATTTAAATCCCTAGAAATTCTTTTTTTAAAAAAATCCCTAGAAATTCTTTCTTTGTGACATCACGTTTACAGAATAATTGTGGTGGTATCTTATTTGGAAAATCCTACTACATTAAGGCTCTATGCGCAGATCTCTTGCATATTTATTCAGCACGTCCAAGACGACATACCTCACAGTGTCAGCCAGTTCATATGTTTCAAGAGTACACAGGTGGGTTTGGATCCCCACTCACTGTGGCCTTTTCCACACTCTCCTTTTAATCCATGTTCACTGTGGTGCCCTCAGGAGTCGTTTTGTAGAAAAAGAGCTAGGGGAACTCATTAGCATAACTCATTAGCATATGCCACACCCCCTGACATCACCGGAAGTGTGTCATAAGGCCACAACCCCTGACATCACCGGAAGTGTGTCATAAGGCCACACACCCCGCCCCCAACGGTCCCGGCCGCCGCTGCCGGCCTTGCAGCTCCACTGCCGAGCCCCATGAGGGGCCCGGCGGTGGACCTGCAAGGCCGGCGGGAGTGCAAGGAAGCCCCGCGAAGGCCCTCCCTGGCCCCAGGCAGGCAGGGGTGGGGAGAGGCAGGGAGGAAGCAACTTACCCTCCCTCTTCTCCTGCCTCCTCCTGGCTGAATGAGGGCCGGAAGCAGGGCGGCCGGAAGC